AAACGGCCGCCCGAGTACGAGTGCTCACACAACACTTCGAAGCGAAGATCTTTGTGATCGCCACTCTCTCTTTTGGACGGCCAACTCACGAAGGTAGTGTTTGGCAAGTCCCATCGGGATCTTGACAACCTAAAAACGACGATGCCATTTAAAAATGGCGTCGATGAGAAATGACACCCCTCGAGCGCCATGAAGCTCCATGAGAAGCAGGAGCGGCGCGTGCAAACGAGATAAAAGCTGAACATCACACCCTTCCACGCGTTCCTCGTTCACGAGCTGGCCGTGAAAGCGGCCGCAGAACGTTGAAGCAAAAGAGTAGTTTGAGCAGGCATTTGCAAAGATGGGAGCAAAGCGAGACCCTCCATTATATACTGGCGCGCAACGGCAGAAGATTGCCAGCGGCCACGGATGAGAGTCTTTTCCATGAGCCCCTCGTGGTGAAAATAAGCTGTAGCACCACCCCTGCGGAGGGAATAAGGTCGAAATTGAAACTGCTCCAATTGAAAGTGAGACATGTAATGCTTGAACAGTTTTCGAAATACTGCAGACGAACGTGGCCAAAGCGCTGCAGGAACATCTTGGAAGCCAAGCCAGGTTTTGAGCAGTAGTAAAACATGAGGATCATAAATGATAACACTTTCCAGTGCACCAAATCTTTGACCGGACTTTGACACAGGCAGCTGTAGTACCCCTTGCGAAGCTCCGAGGACAAGGTCATGCTTATTGATGTTGAGAACTTCATGAGTACGCAGAAAACAATGGAAACCAAGCGTCATTATGATGGCAAAAGCCAAATTCCCATCCTCCAGGGCCTTACCTGCGACAGCGAGCACTACCAAAGCTGGCAAGGGCGGTGCACGGGAGGGGAGTTCAACTTTACGCCAGATGCGAAACAACCGCCAAGACTGAGGCAGATGATGTCGAGTTTGAGGCACATAGTGCTGTACTGCAGAAAGAGTGTCCCCAATAAGGCTAAGACCTGCACCAAGTTCCCACTGATCGTCGATGTATGAAGCAAGGAGAACGTCCAAATGTGTTGAAGATGAAGCGGCGTCTAAAAGATATGTGACTTTTTGCAATGCGGACCAATAGCGTTTTCGTGTCTTTGTAGAAATAGCGATATCCAGTAACCTGAGTCCTCGTCTGGCCAGCCGCCGCTGCTGCACGGTACGACGGTTAATGACGACTGGCGGCATCTGTCGGATTGACCATGCTATCCACATGGCCCACCAAAAGGAATAAACGGGCAGCCAGCAGAGCAGCGGCTAGCCGACGGAGGACTCGGTTCAAGGCTCGACTGGACGAGCGCCCCTTGGAAATCACAGACATAGACACGTAGCTATCAGTCAAATGCAACAAACGGCGCCGGCAAGTAGAAGGGCGGCGCAACACCCATTCTACACTGAGGACAATCATACGGAGCTCGAGTTCATTGATGTGAGCTTTGTGTTTCCAAGTATGTCGAAACACAACCTGCCACGCCCACAAGTTTGGGTCAATGCTCTGACGCGGATAGGCTTTTGGGTTCACCAACTGACCTGTTGAAATGCGCACATCACATCCGGTGTGATTGCAACGCGCGGCAAAAAGCGAGGCAAGCGAAACATTGGAAGGCAAAGCTGAAGCGCCAAAGGATGGAGATTGGCTCAATGGGGCGGTGCGGGCGGGGTGAAGAGACAATCCCGGGGCCAAACCGAGGCGAGCAACATAGTGTTGATAAGGCTTTGCTTTGACATAGTCATTTGTACCCCACACAGCAAAAAACAAAGCAGATGCCATTGCAAAACTGTCCCCAAGTAGCGAGAGTCGTTCAGTCTCGTATGCATCCCAATTTTGTTTAGCTTTGCTTGCCGCCATGGCAGGTTCCGTATGACTTGCGCCGAAACCCAACAGAAGTTCGCGCTCACTGGCTTCTGTCACTCGCCAGTCGTCCCCGCGGATAATCAAATAGTCAGCTTTGAATTGGTAAGGCGGATAACAAAAGTCATAATGTTTCCACCTTTGTAGGGTAAAAGCATCACACCGACTCAATCCTGCAGGATGGTCTGGGGGAACATTTCGTGGGAGACATCGCATGAAAGTGGGAAGGGGTTCTTCTGATGTTCGGGACCAGCCCGGCCTGAGCCAGCTGTCCGGTGTCACCAGTTTTGCTGAGGCACGAATCTCGATATAATCATCTTTTGGAACATGCATGATGCCTTCCATGCTTACACGCGGCAAATCTGTCCAAAAGAACCGAGGCCGTGACATGTTCATCACATTCGCTGGATCCAGTCTCAGGGGTTTTAGCCCCAAAGTTTGAGAAATTTCCTGCCTAGCTTTAGCGTCCATGGAGGCTACATTCTCAGCGATCACATAGACCTGAAGCTGATCACTTGATAAGGTTTTTGCTGCTTGCCAAATACGAACCAGCTCATAAAACAGCGATGACTGTTTTCCAGTGAGATTGTTTCGATTTGCTTTAGAGGACGATAAGTCTTTGCACGGAAAACCGCCCCACACATGTAGCTCCTTAGCATCTGGATGGCGGTCGATGATTGTCTGGAGCTCTGCACGGCCGAATGCCAGCACATCATCAAACACTTTTGTTTGAGGCCAACGCCGTTGAGTGATCCGATTAGCTGGCCCATGGCATTCCACTGCATAAAGTCCCATTGGTGTAACCCCAGCAAGATCGTAGGCACGAAAAGCACCGCCAATTCCATTAAGAAGGGATAAGACAACGATGGGGACTGATATGGCGTCAGCACGGGGATCCCCCAGCCGATTTTGCAGTGCAGCGCCCTGGTGTGTTAGCCCATCACTCACAGCTACAGCTCCCCCTTTGAGAGAAGCATCTGAACAAGTAACTTGCTCCATAACCGTGGCATCCAAACATGTATGAAGCAACGGGAGGAGCGAGATGGCCAGCCAAATCTCCTCCTTCATTGCCAAGACTTTCTTTTGGGTGTATCGTCCATAGATCAGTTTCCACGACTCGGAAAAGATAGCCATACCTGGTCTTCTATATTGCAACAAATAGACCCATCTCCCCAGGACAATCTGAACAAGCTTTCGAGGAGGTGATGATAGACCCAGTATAAGCAGTGAGGAATGCACTAGTTTCAGAATCCGAGCTGGAGAAACTCCCATGGTCTTGTTTGGCCCATCGATGAAAGCTCCCAGTTCTTCCACTGTGGTTGCTCTTGACGTCCGCTTTTTGGCTGAAGAAAGCACCCCTATTTTTTCCCATTGTGCTTCTGTCATGAGGTGCCACTTTTCACTTGTTCCGGGTAACTCCGTTGCACATTTCCGCTCGCCAGCAACGAAATTATCCAAATAGATTTGCCACCATGCGCATGTTGTTTCACGAGTTGTTCCTGGGGCATTGAACCAAGCTGGTGGGGCCTTTGTCTTTGTAATCTGAGCATCCGAAGGTAAACCTCCTGCTACCAGGATTCGCGCAGAAACTTCTTGCATCACTCCAACACTCGACGACCATCCCATAGGCAGGACACGACAACACAGAAATTGTCCGCTCCGTTCAATGTTAAAGCACATCCACTTGCGCCAGCAGCGAGGTAACTCAAACAGATAAAACGCAGCACTCATATCAGACTGATGGAAATAGACTTGGTCAGTACCGCACACTGCGAGAGAAAGCCACTGAGTGATATGCGGAAGGTTTTCGATCCCACCTCCAATCACCCTCATGAGTCTGTTCAGCGGAACGAAATTCATGATAACACGCAGCACTGTTTCGTTTTCTGGTGTCAAATCCGATTTTGCGACGCCGAACATGCCGTTGAGAAGCTTTGTTCCCTGAAAAGCTTTGACGTCCTTGCCATCAACCCACTCACAAACTCCATGCTTCACAAGCAAATCCGCCACTCGGTCGCGCTCGCCCTCAACAATGTGGAGTTTCGCTTGCAACATCTTTGGATTCGCATCAAACTCTTCCAATAGCAGTAGCTCGGGATCCCCCAGCTGCCGCTTCGTTCCTTCAGACACCCAATCAATCACAGGAATGGATCCTCCATGCCCTAAGGGTGGAAGTGCCGGAGTAATGCGAGACGCACTTAGAAGCTCCAATTTTGCTACTTCTTCACCAGAGTATCCAATGCGTTTTGCTGCCAAACCCCGAAACACGTCTGCTCTCGTCGCGTGAACTTCCTCAGAAGATGCACAGATCACCGTTACGGCATCACCAATTTCATGGAGCACCCTTTCCTGCTGTGTTGTGCACTTCTGCTCATGAGCATTCCCAGCCCCAGCAAGGCAATTTAGCCCTTGAATACAGGCACGACTCCACCCAGCCTCGCACGAAGTGAAGGAGTCGGACGCACGAGCCCAAGCCACCGGCAAAGGAAAAAGTGTTCGCCGAGAGCGCACAGCTCGAGTGAGTTGGCTCAAACTTCCCATCCAACGTATAGGGCAACATAGCAAATGAGATCTGCTGGACCCTTCAATCACATCCGCAACCCCTTTCAACAACTCCAGGAGTTCTGAACCTAACGCCGCCGACGAGGTGCAGCGGCTGATCAAACCGCAAGGCTTCCAAAAACAAAATTTGCAACAGGCACGGCCATGTTTGAGGTATGAATCTCGCGCGAATACACTTGGCTTTACAACTCGTTTCTGGTGTTTCACCGATGTCCTCGACATGCCCGTTGAAACCATGCCCTGGTCAGGGCCAGTCGAACACGCTTCCAAAAACTGCTCACGCCCACCCGAGTGCCCGGTTACACCAGCACTCGAGTTCACTCCGCCACTTCTATCCAAAGTAAACGGATGGCGCTCCAACTCGGGAGGCTCACAAGTTGTGAGTTCCTCCATGAAACCACTCCCCTCATGGCTCCCGGAAGAAAGGCCCTCCAGGCCAACTCCGGGATGAGTCTGACGCGACGTTGAATCAGCATCAGGCTCAAGGTTTGCATGCACGGATGTTCCAGCACGCATACCTTCAGTTAGGCCTTCATTCAGACCAAAAAGCAAAACCTCTTCAGAGGAGGCGACCTCGATCACCTCTTCCTTCCATCCTCCCTCTTCCTGTCGTCTACTCCCTTCTCGGCTCCGTCCCTCTTTCCTCCTTGTTTTCCTCCTCCTTTTTCTCCTTTGGCATCCCCTTTCTTGCCTCCCTTCCATGGTGCCCGGTCTCCGTAGCTCCCCCAAGTCGCCTTTCCTTTTCCTTTTTCGCCCTGAGCCTTGTGAACTTTTGACACATGCCGCCTTGTGGCTAACAGGACTCCCGGCATGATGGCCCCAAACTGCTCTGGGGTCGCGATCTCGATTTGGGAGGCAGTCGTCCAGTTTCCATCCGTCATGGATTGCTCGATCGCCATAAATCGAGCAGCTAATACATCCATGGCCTCCGGTAGTTTCCCCTTCCTCATAAAATCCAAACTGACGGCGAGCATCAAGCATTCCCGGAGATCCCGTGTCCATCCTTGCCCACTTCTCGGTTTGACGATTTGTTGCAGATATGCTGTCAAACGGCTTGCATCCAGGACTGTTGTGTTGGAAGCTCCTGTTGCCCCAGCAGCCCCCACCATGTCCATCTCCTCTTGCACTCGGCGAAGAAGCATTCCCAGAACTGATCCGGGATCCTTCCTCGCCCGGCGGGCAATGGGAGCTTCCAACACCTCTCGAGAATCGCTGCTGTAGCTGGAGCTTGAGTCTGACGAGCTGCTCGTCGACCGTTTCCTTTTCTTTCCCCTCTTCTTTTTCTTTTTCTTCCTCTTTTCCTTCCTCCCTGCTTCCTGTCCTTGTTGCGCGGAAATCCTCGCTACCAACGCGGCTCCAAACGACTCTCTGGACTTTCTGGTCTCTCCTTCGATTCGCAACTCTCCAGGTGTCTCTAGGGCTCCGGCTCCTGGCCAACATGGGGGAGCTTGATGTGTGTGAGTTTCGGCGGGGTGAGACCCCAGATGCGCGGCGCTTGCCAGCGTCGGTCCCGACACACGTGCTACACTGCCGGAGTTGACGAGTGCGCCACCCGAAAGGCCCCCATCCATGGTGCCACCCGGGAGCGGCATGCCACCATCGGCCGTGGGAAACCCGGCTCGAAGCCGACCATTCAGACGATCCAAAGTACCGTGAAGCCCTTCGGAATGGGGAGCCGCCCCGTCGGCAGGTGGAAGCTCGGAAGCGACAGCAGCACGACCCCTCGCTTCCAGCTCCAACTTTCCAACATCGGTTCGGCTCTTCACGGCACCTTGGAGCGCCTTTCTCCCACCTGACGTCAGGTAGTCCGCCATGAAAAGCTCCGGCCTCCACCATTTTATGTTTCCCACGTGTAAAGCAAAGACCCCTGTCGACTCGCAGACGGCCGGCCCTGCCGGACATAGGTGGATGGGCTCTTTTCTCCGGTTCACCGTGTTTGATAACGTATCTCTGACCGCTGGGGTTGAAGCACCCAAACTTTTCCCAGTGACCACTAAACCTCCCGATGGTTCGGTCGTGATAGTATCCACGAGAATTGCAGCCACAGTTCCATCCCCGAACTCCGCTCCTTCGACGAGTAGCTCGAGTACATCCCCGGAGTTTGGTGCCAGCTGTGCCCATGACTCTAGGTCTTCCCATGAATACTCTTCCCCTTCTGCCACGGGTCGTGCTAAAGGTACTGCAGGTACACCACCAATACTCACGCCACCTTCCATATCCACACCATCTGAACCCCCATTCATCATTTTGACTTCCGAGGTTGTGCAGAAGAATCCTGAAACCACCTGTCTTCGAACCCAGCTTTGCGATCCCACTGAGCCCGGTCAGCCTCTTCGACGCTAAGACGTGTCCGCTTGCCCTGCCGAGGATCTGAATTACGATAGAGCCGCTGATGTTTGCGCCCTCCGCGTTTGTTTTTCTTTTTCTTCTTCCTGATCCTTCCTCCTCCTTTCCCGTGGTCAACCCCGGGTTCAGAGTGCGCGTGGCGTGTGCCAGCACCCCGACCCGAATGATGTTCCAGGGGTACTCGAGGTCGGCGAGGAAGTGCGGGGCGTAGCGAACCAGGGGAAAGGTTTCCAGATGCGTGTACTTCCTCCTTTACACCACTGAGAACAGAAATGACACACTCCTCCTCGGATGTAGAATAGTAGGAATACTCTCCTTCCTCCTCAACGCCTTTTCGTCTTTCAGCGCACACAGCGCGTTCAGCCCCTGTGGTTAAAGGTGCAGCCGGGGCCGGGGCTGCCTCCACCTGGTGGGTGACCGCAGGAGCTGGAGGGTCCGCAGCGCCCAAATGGCGGATTCTGTGCAGTGCCCGACCGCAAGTCAGCACCAGATCCTCCCCCACAGCCCGATGAGCCGGCGAAGGCCACGGGGCCCCCAGCTCCTTTTCAATCACCTCCCAAGCGAGGCAGCCGAGGCACCACTTATTCCCTGTGTGAGGAGGTGCGACCTTGCACTTCCCGCACAGGGCCATTCAGGAAGACCAAACCCAAACCTTAAAAGGAAACGGCCGCCCGAGTACGAGTGCTCACACAACACTTCGAAGCGAAGATCTTAGAAGAACTCGTTGCATTTCGATGGCTGATTTTTAGATCTCTACCAACACTGATTGTTTGGACATCCACTCACGTATATTGCGCAACAGATCTGGACTGCAAACCCCATGGCGTTGAGGTCCGCACGCGGACCGTTCACCGTCGAAGCGGCAGGGTGCTGAGCCCCGCCGCATCACAACGGAGCATGAAGTTCCAGGCCCTCGCTGTCGCTTTCGCGCGGGTTATGTCGAGACACCGCGGCAACGGTCCTATAAGGACGTGGGGATGTTGGTGACACATGAGACAAAATAAAAGGATTCCAAGCACCATAAAGCCTCTAACAAATTCGTATGCTTTGATTCTTCATGCTGTGCTGCCACGCTGGTCCCGCACCGTGCGTTCGGAAAATGACGCTTACAGAATGAGCGCTGTCTATCATTGAATCTTTTTGGAGAACGACCAGGACGGCGAGACGGACATAAGGTAAACAGGTAAAGTTCTCTGTCCAATTGGTGCGGGCTACCAGGTGCAGACGTGCCGAGCCCAGCAACTTTGGATGCAAAATAATACTGAAGCCTGAGGCTTTACAACGTTGAAGGTGACGTACACTGGACACGAGGTGCACGAGCTGCACTGCTTCCATGCTGAACCCACCACCATGTTCCGAGTGGGTCTGGAACCATCTATTCTGGGACCGTGAGGCCGTGCAACGCCATGCCTGTTGGACGTCGGCATGCGGGTAGGCGAGTATAGAGAAGGGAGAGGATGGTTGCATCCAGCGCAGGGTCGGACCCGTGCAAGCGCCCCATGCGAGAATTGCACGATCTCGGCATCTCATTTCAACATATTTCAGCTAAGGACCCCAAAGCTTTGGCTATCTGCAGGTGTGCCGTGTGTTGTGCAGGCGTGCGTGGCCCCTGCGCAAAGGATGACACGCAACATCGATGGCTCAAGATGCGCGAAAAGGTGATGGGGTCTTGTTTTGAAGTTCGGATTTGGATAAGCCTGGAGGCGCCGGGATGGCGATTATGCGCTTTGCCGAGGTTGGTCGTCTGGCGGCGTCGTGGGTTGGCTTCCACTTTGGACACACTCTCGTTTCGGTGCAGACAGAAACATTACAACAAAACGTTACAACAAGCCGTGCTTGTGGCACAAGGGAACGAGGCGCCTATGTTTCGCGTGGCGTCGTCTCGACAGGATGCTGCAGGTTCAAGGCTTCGAACTGCTGCCGTGGAAAGCCTTGCGTGGCAGTGGCCAACCGCCGACACGTAAGGAAACAGAAGCCGCGGGTCATCATATCACAACGCTCCCCGTCTCATCCGCGTTCCACACATGCACGTCTTGCTGCTTCGCCGCCTCTGTGAGCAGCTCTGACCGGTGCCACTGAGCCCTTGACATCATGAATCCTGAATGCGTACCGCACGGCTTGACCCAAAATGCAGGTGCTGGGCAAGCGCGGCGCGCCCTGGAGAGCACGGCCGTCCGAGAGTGTCGCAATGCGGGGGCCAGGGTTCGCAACAATGTTCTACTGCGAGACGTTGAGCTGCAATGATGTGCCGCTGACTCCACCGCCGCCCACACTTTGCGTTACCGGATCTTGGGCTCGGGATCTCGGGTTCATGCCTCCGACCAGCAAGGACCAGTGCTGGAAGCAGACGGACAAGCTCCATAGACTCGAGATACGACCAGATTCCGGATGGGTACCAGCCCTCACCAGCCTGAGAATCAACCCATGCCGTCTTGAAGCCCAGCCCGGCGGCCTGCGGCCCGGCAGAGCCGCTCCCGCGTACGAACACTCCGGGCAAAAGGCATGCCGGCACGCAAGCATTTCCAGCACTCAACCGGGCATCCTTGAACCTGGAGGGCATGCTCCCGTGCCTTTACGCACGAGGAGCTCCGAAATCATATACAGCACAGAGGTCGCCATGAACTGTTTGATTACGATGCGTCTGGGTCCTCACAGATTCGACCGTCCTGCTTTTCCTTGCTGCCAAAGGCCTCGCGCGCGCGCGCGCATTTCTCGATGACATCTGCCATCGGCGCTGGAAGCCCCGGCCAGAGCTGGCCACAGCTGGAATAAAGACGTGGCCAGAAACACAGGCACTGCAAGCTCTGGGCCTGGCAACAAGAAGAAAACTACAAAAGCCCATGCCAAAGCGCCCCCAAGTCGTATCCGCAAGTCAGAGACTCCAGACCCTTTATGCCACTGGGCTCTCAGGCATGCGCATGCTGCAAGGATCCAGGGGCCACTGCATTTCAGCAGCTGATCCCTGCAAGGATAGTCAACAGTCCGCCAGTCTTTGGCGGCTGAGGCATGATTGGCAGTGGCGATGGCGATGGAAAAAATCAAGATCCCTCACGACTTCTGAAAGCTGCAGCCTGATCCCGAAGCTCCAAGAGATCGCCACTGCGTGTCCGTATGTGTACAGGGGCCGAGCTGGCCCAATTGAAAACCCACAAAGACCTGGGGATCCTTGCTCAATCAGGATGCTACTCATTTAAGGTACAGCTTGGCGCTTCTGTGTAGAAACTCACATTGATTGCCAGAATCATTGGGGCGGCCGCTTGTCCTGTCACGTGATTGTTTGCTTGTTTGACAAACTGCATGAGAATTCAGACTTTGTGTTGCAACTGATTGGATGTGGCGGAGCATCGCACTAGACTCTAGACCGCTCCACCAAGGGTACAAGTGGCCTGAGCTGAGCGGGCTGAGCGTGCTGAGAGTCCGGAATTCACTTTGGACACGGAGGACTCTGCCTGCACAGCAACATTGAGACATTAATGAAGGAACATACAAAAACATACTAGCAGCTACTAACATGCTGCGATGCTGACAACTCCGAACAAAACCGAACTTCCGCGAGTCCGCTGCCGGCACTGTCCCTCTGGACTGCAACTTTCTCTCTTCCCTCTTGTGAAGTCGGAAGTTTCCTGAATCCCCTTAAGTGTCGGACCCGAACACGGTGCTCCTCGATCCGAGTATCCTCGGAGTTTTCCCACACGATCTGGAACCTCAGAGCGTTACCGAGTCAACAAGATTTCTTTCTTGAGTTAAAAGCTCCAGCTCATGAGTACAACATCGAGGTGTCTTGAGAACACTTGATCTCTTCAACAGTTCCATTCTCGGGCAGAGCAGGCTCAGAGTCTGAGAGGGATCATCTCGGTTCTTTTTCCGCAGCCCCCACATGACACTTCGCTGAACATCCCTGCACTCAGTGCGGCACTGCTCCTTCAGCACAGCTGCGTGGAAGCCCCTCCGGCTCTCCAAGTCCTACAAAGTCGCAGATTTTCGCTTCGACCGCACAAAGATGATGGTGCAGAACTGCAGTCGGGGAAGTAGGGGAGACAGACACGACTTCAAGTAGGACCTAGAATGAGGCGCATCCCATGCGCCCATGTGCAGCATCCCATGCGCCCCGGCAAAGACTGCAGCCCTGGCTTCGCCCAGAGCCCATGCTCCTGCAAGGAAACCTCGTCGCTTCGGCTGAGGCGCAGAGCAGCAAGGCCTGGAAAGAAAACTTAAAGATCCGCCTCTGCCACTGACGGTGTCCACGATCTCTGAGTCTGTAATTGGGCAGTGGGTTGTGGTCTAGCAGTCTAGCAGACAGCATAGAAGCCCGTTTGACTGCTTCGGTCTAGTCCAGAAGCTTCCACACCTAAACCTACGAACACTGGCAAAAGCACCCGTCGGAACCACACACTTGCAGCAGACCTCTTGTACGAGTGTGCGAGATGTAGAACTAGTAGTACACTAGACGTGCTGTTGTACTGGCAGCGATGCTCGCAATAGCTTGAAACCCTCAAACACGAAAACGTGTGAGCAAGCACGCTGATCCGACAGGCCAGCACCAGTGCCACAATGGTCAATGCTCGTACAGAGGGACTCTTCGACTGCAAATCTTGCTGGTGACGCAGTTTCTTGTCGTCACAGCCGTGTGCCTACCGCGAATTACAGGAGTATGTTCTTGCTGCTTGGAAACGCACACATCCATCCAATCAATCCATTCCTTGATTCATTCAGCTGCATGACATGCATGCTTTCATGAATTCATACATTCAATTATTCATTCATTCACTCGTTCACTGACTAATTGCATGTTGATGCGTGCCTGCATGCCTACATACCAACACCGCCCGCATTCCTCCTCTTCTCTTCTCCGCGTGTCAATGTAAAGTCTTGGAGCTCAGGGCCTTCGATGCCAGTCTGCCGCATCTCCCGTACCCAGCCTCGGCAAAAAACACCCCGAGACTCGGGGCTTCCTGGGGTGGTGATTTGACTTGAAGCTCACAGCTTCAAGCAGGTCAACTTGAGCAAGCAGCGTAGGAAGACTACGAAGCTCACGTCATCCGCGCCGGTCGCGGCCTGCTCCTTACAAGTTGCTCATGCCCTACGGCCTTTGGATCTGCATCGTTGACGACTGTGTGGAAGCCGAGAACAGAGCTGTGCATTGGACTGGGCTGCTTGACATTACAGGCTTCCGCAGCTTCAGTTCTACTTGATGCCAGGACTCGGCCTCGACACTGAAGTTTAGGGAGAATGTTACAACACAGGGAAGCCTTCACCATGTTCGCGCTGTACTGCGTGTCTCTACGACTCTATTTTTTCGGCTGACGGTCTACCCGAGCCTGGCCTTGTGGTGGCTGTCTTTGGCTGGTCTGAGAAGCGTGCCTCAACATGCAGAGGTGCATGAAGTTGCTCCCTGCGGCACACCAAGCAGCCAAGCATGCACAGCATCCGCAGGTTCACCTACCACCTGAGCATCTTTGCTTCCAAAATATGGCAGTGATCTCAACAGCGGAGAACAGTGCACATCTGGGTAGCTTCCATGGCCCGTACGAAGCCGGTCGACGTCTGCGGCATCCAAAGCTGGAACTCCACATCTCTGGAAGAGCTCCTGTTGACGGCAGCGGAGACTGACATGTGGTTGCATTCAGATGC